TATATATATAGAGAGAGAGAGAGAGAGAGAAAGAGAGAGAGTATACTAGAGAGATGCTGTTTGTTAATTAACAATTGTATATTAAGTATTTTGTATTATTTTTTAAGTTAAAGTTTGGCACGTTGCTGTACCCTCTACTTAAATAAGAAACAAAAATATATACATTTATTTCGGATTTTACTTTCATTTGCAAGATTATATTCTCTCCCATAATGTTATTCACCGATATTTACTGTTAATTTAGCAGGCAATTTAACTTTGAATTCAATATTGTATATGACTATTTATTTATATATTATTCTGCTTATTATTCTCACCTTCCATGTGCCTTGTATACCCCATATGATCTATGAAGAACTATCATATATTATTATAATTTTTTGTATTTTCCCTCTTCATTGGCACCTTCGTTTGTTTGTTAAATCTTTACCAGCAGCTTTGATTGCAAATCTCTGAAAGTGATCATCATCATTGTTCAATTTGCATACTACAAATACACACTACACTATACTATATATTGTGGGTGCTCAAGTAGTAATATTCCCAGTTACTTGGCTATGAATGGATCGTTATATACATCTGGAACTAGTTTTTGCTAATACTCAACAGCGGGAGAGGAATAATAAGTTCAAGTGAAAAGTCCTATCTCATTGATATTTATTTATAGCTATAATACTTAAGCTTAGATTGTATATGATTTGGTAAACAATATTTAAGAGCTAGATGATAGCTGAGAAAAAGTTACAATAAGAGAATCATTCACATTTCTTTTTACCTCTTTTTTATTTTATATACATATATTTATATCTATTTTGGTGAAATTTATTCATTTTCTTTATCTTTTATTCTTTATTATAATTTATTTGTCGATTCGATTTCGATTTTAGAAAGATTAGTCTAGATCAACCTGACTATCTATTTATTGATTCAGTTGAATATTATTAGTATACTTCAAATGGCTGCGCACGCCCTCTTCTATCTGTCTCATGCATATAAAATAGGCTCCACAATTTACACATTTAAAGTTTTTATGGCTTTTAGATTTTGAAAACTTTATGTTCGTAAAATAAAATTAAAATCATAATATTAAGGGTATTCACATTTCGAAAAGTTTATTGTGAAATAGGAATATGGCCGCGAAATGTAAATAAGTCTGTGACACCCATTGCTAATCTATTATAATTTCTCATTAGTAAGTTGTAGGCCGAATTTGGCGAACAAGAAAAATAATACGATAAATCGGCATATGGCACTGGAGGATACTGAAAGCAAAGCAACGAAACTTTATTACGAATCGACATAAAATTAGATATCAAATGAAAATGAATAATATTTATATTATTATTAATATGATGTTATTTATTTAATAGTAAATATGCTAACATAATATATAAGTTTGTAAACAAATATAT